CCAAATGAAAGAACAGAACAAAATTCCAGGAAAAGAACTTAACAAAATGGAGATAAGCAATCTAACAGATGCAGAGTTCAAAACACTGGTTACAAAGATGCTCAAGGAACTTAGTGAGACCTTCAAGGAGCTAAAGGAGAACTCCAAGGAACATAATGAGAACATCAACGACATAAGAAAGGACCAGTCAAAAATGAAGGAGGCACTAACTGAAATAAAGAATAATTTACAGGAAATCAATAGTAAAGTAGGTAAAGCCAAGAAGCAAACCTCAAACTGGAATATAAGGAAGCAAAAAACACCTAATCAGAATAGCAAAAAGAAAAAAGAATCCAAAAAAAATGAGGACAGTGTAAGGAGCTTCTGGGACAACTTCAAGCGAACCAACATTTGCATCATGGGGGTGCCAGAAGGAGAATAGAGAGAACAAGAAATTGAAAACCTACTTGAAAAAAAAAATGACAGAAAACTTCCCAAACTTGGTGAAGGAAACAGACATACAATCTAATAACCAATATGTATGACAGAAAACTTCCCAAACTTGGTGAAGGAAACAGACATACAATCTAATAACTAATATGTATGTCTTAATTCCTTCATCTTCTTGGTGAACCTCAAAGGGAAGGGGGAGGGAGGGCGGGAATCGTTAAACCAAAGAACTTCTATGTATATATGCATAACCAGTGGACACAACCAATAGGGTGGGAAAGGCAGGAGGGGGGCAGGATTGGGGAGGAGGGGGTCAATGGGGGGACATCTGTGATACATTCAGCAATAAAGATAAGTTAAAAAAAAAAAAAAAAAAACAGAAAGAAAATTATCAGGCAGATGGATCCGATGGTTGGAGATGCTAAAGTGCATAGGAGCCATAGGGGGGCTGCTGGAACACAGATGCTCCTCAACTTATCAGGAGTTGAAAATATGAGTCTAAAATGCACTTAGCACTCCATCGTGGAGTGTGGGTTGTTTGCCCTCATGATTGACTGGCTAACTGGGAGCTGCGGCTCGCTGCTGCCGCCAGGGTCAGGAGAGAGCTTCATACCCTGGGAAACATCACCCGGGAAAGATTAACGCTCAGAATTCGAAGTATGGTGTCTACTGAATGCATATCGCGTTCGCACCATCGTAAAATCATAAAATGGAAAATCCTCAAACCACTGTGAAGTCGGGGACCATATGTATTGACTGGGGGAGGGGGTGAGGTCAGGGAAGGGGGCGGGCAGTCGCAGGAGAGCAGACTGAAAAAGAACTTGAGGATCAAACTGGAAAAGACTTTGAAAGTCATGCTGGGACGTTTAGATTTTTCCGGAAGGCAATTAGAGACGTTCATCAGAATAGCCATTTTACAGGATAAATGGAGCTGAAATAGACCAGGCACTTGGAAACCAGTTAGAAAAAAATGTTTTTTCTTTATTTATTTTAGAATGAGAGAGGAAGGGGGTGGGCGGGAGAGAGAGAAAGAAAGAAACATCGAGAGAGAATATCGATTGGCTGCATCCTGCATGCCTCCCACTGGGGATCGGGCCCACAACCTGGGCATGTGCCCTGACCGGGAATCAAACCAGCGACCTCTGGGTGCAGGGTCGACACTCAACCACTGAGACACATTGGCCATGGCCAGCTAGAAAAATTTTACATGAATCCAAGCAAAAAAGGAAGGGAAGTAGAATAAGGTATGCTCTATGAGTATAAAAAACGAAAAACAGCCAAGCCAATATGGCTCAGTGGTTGAGCATTGTCACATGCACCAGGATGTCATCGGTTCGATTCCCGGTCAGGGCACATGCCCTGGTTGTGGGCCCGATCTCCAGTGGGGAGCATGCAGGAGGCGGCCAATCGATGTTCTCTCTCGATGTTTCTATCTCTGTCTTCCTCTCCCTTCCTCTCTCTTTCTAAAATCAATAAAGAAAAAAATTAAAAGAAAAATAGACTTTAAACATCCCAGGAATCCTTTATAACAACTTGTACAGGGTGGATATGGGGACTTAGCGAAAAGGAGTATCAAAGATAACTCACCCCAAACTCCAGGCTTTTCCTTGGTGGCTCATTCACCAGGGGATGAAAATAAGGGGTGTCCCAAAGGGGAAGATGTTGAGTTCCATTTCGTACACGTCCAGCTCCGCCGGCAGCTGAATGAATAGTTGGTGGTGGAGAACTTCAGGGAGACGGTTTCCAAGGCGAAGTTGCAGGCGGCTAAGACGTTTGTAGAAGTTGAAGCGGAGCAGACGTCTCTGAGCAGCTTTGGAACATATGTGAGAAACCGATGGCTGCTTTGATCCACGGCGGTGGTTTGACAGAATGAGGGGTCTTGGAAAGTCAAGTGAAGGAGCAGGTTGCCACAGAGTGTGGTGGAAACATCTCTAGCATAGTGAAGCCAAGAGGACCTAAGACTTGACTGAGCATCAGAATCGCATGGAGGGCTCATCAAGCCACACATGGCTGGGTCCCACACCAGAGTTTCTGATTCAGAAGGTGTGTGTGTGGGGGGGGGGTTGGGGGGGGAGAATTTGTATTTCTTTCTTTCAATCCTCACCCAAGGATATTTTTGCATTTATCTTCAGATAGAGCTGGAGGGAGGGAGAGAGGAAGAAAGAGAAACATCGGTGTGAGAGAGACACATCGATTGGTTGCCACCCCAACCAGGGCCAGGGACAAACTGCAACCGAGGTACATGCCCTTGGCCAAAATCGAACCCAGGACTCTTTAGTCCGCGGGCCGACACTCGAACCACTGAGCCAAACCGGCCAGGGCAAAGTTTGCATTTCTAACACACTCCTGATGCTGATGCTGCTGATCTGGAGGCCACAATGTCCAAAGCACTGGCCCAGAGCAAAGCAGCTGGAGCGGGTCGGTGCTGAACAATTCTCCGAGTGAATGGATAAGCGTCGTCATGTTCAGTAGTGACTACGGTAGTTAAAAGACCAGATGGAAGGCAAGGTTACGTGGGACGATGGAAAATGGTAGTCAGAGTAGAACTTCAGAGTTTGGATTCAGAGAAGAAACAATTTTGGGCAAACAAGGTGCAGGACTGACCCTGCCCAAGGGAATGATGGAGGTCAAGGAATTGAGCGTTGCAGGGTCATCAAAATGGGTCACATCCGGCAGGGGCTTGAGTGAGTCTAAAGGGTGGCTTCAACAGGAATTCAAGATCTGAAGTGGAGTCTGGCTACCTCTGGGCCTGAATGATGTGAAGCTGACTGTGTATATACCTGCAGACGTTGCGGCCCATCCAGTTGATGCACCAGCACCGGTAACACATCTAAGGAAGTCTGTGACTCTGTGCCAGCCCTGTCTGCTCATCCTCCAAGTGAGGTCTGCGCTGGGCCCCAGACTTCTGTGGAGGAACTGGAGGGTAGAGGTCACGTCTGAGGATTTCAGCACAGCAGAGAAGCAGTTCACCTCAGGCCCATCCTCGGGCTCAGGAGCAGAACCGACAGATGGCTGCTGATGCTAAGAGGTGTGGCTTGCAAAGAATGAATACAAATTCCACTGGATTAGGACATGTACAGGTTGAAAACGTCTGCTAATCCTCAGTCATGGTTTTGTGTCCTTTACAGTTTCCCCTTTACAGCTTTACAGGAGCAGCGCTCACAACACCCCTCTAGGGGGCGACTGTGACTAGGTCTTAGATTATGATCGCCTGGAGCACGTGTCCCTTCTAGTCTGCGGGTCCTGAAGAGCACAGGCCCAAGGTGCCGCCTCCACTGCTTAATACCTGCACACCCTTAGCAGTTACTTCCTCCCCCGTCCCTGTCTTCTTGCTTGTAAAATGCCCATAGTAATAGTACACCACAGGTCCTGGCTGGGTAGTTTAGCTGGTTTCCGGTTGATGCCCAGTCAGGGCACAGACAAGAATCAACCAATTTGTTATGAAACAACAAATCAATGTCTCTCTCTCACTCTCTCAAATTAATAAGTAGCCTGGCCAGTGTGGCTCAGCGGTTGAGGGTCGACCCATGCACCAAGAGGTCGCTGGTTCGATTCCCAGTCAGGGCACATGCCCAGGTTGTGGGCCTGATCCCCAGTGGGGGGCATGCAGGGGGCGGCCAATCGATGTTCTGGCTCATCAATGTTTCTATCTCTCCCTAAAATCAATAAAGAAAAAAAATGAAGCCCTGGCCGGTTTGGCTCAGCGGTTGGAGTGTCGGCCTGTGGTCCAGAGAGACCCGGGTTTGGTTCCCGCTAAGGGCATGTACCTCGGTTGCAGTTTGTCCCCGGCCCTGGTTGGTTGTGCGGGTGGCAGCCACTCGATGTGTCCCTTTCACGGGGATGTTTCTGTCTCTCTCTCTCTTCCTCTCCCTCCCTCCCACTCTATCTGTACAAAAAATGGAAAAATGTCCTCGGGTGAGGATAAAAAAAAAATCAATCAATAGTACAGACAGCGCAGCCTCGTGGCTCAGTGGATTGAGCTTCGGGCTATGGACTGTGAGGTCCCAGTCTGATCCCCCAGCAGGGCACGTGCCCAGGTTTGGGGCTCCATCCCTGGTGGGGGGCCTGCAGGGGGCGGCCAATGGACGGATCTCTCGCACATCCCCGTTTCTCTCTCTCCCTGCCTCTCTAAAAAATCAATAAAAACATATTTTAAACTAATAACACTAATTGTACACCACACCGGGTTACCGCGAGGATTAAGAGAGGCAGTTGACGGAAGTTCTGGGCACACAGTGAGCCCCTGCACATCACCGCTGCGGTGTGTCGCATTGCCCAGGACGGGTCCTCGAACACCTCCACGCGCCTGCGCTTCCCTGCCCCGCAGCTTCACCTGACCTGCGTGCGCTCTTCGCCGCGCATGCGCCCAGCGCGCTGACTGCTCTCCGGCTCGTCCCGGAGGCGGGGGGAGTCTCGACGACCCGCAGCGCCTGCGCGCAGAGAGGCAGCCGGGGAGAGCTCGCGCAGGCGCAAAAGCGTGGTAGTGCCGCTGGCTCGCCCCGCCCCCAGGGGTGAGGGGTCATCGGAGGGCGTAGGCCCCGCCGCGCGTCGCGGCCGCCCTGCTCGAGCCGATGGCGCCGGCGCAGCGCTGTGCCCTGTGCCGCCAGACCTTCTTCTGCGGCCGCGGACACGTCTACAGCCGCAAGCACCGGCGGCAGCTGCAGGTGGCCCTGGATCGGCTCCTGCCGCAGGTGCGCCGGGCCGGGGGCGCCGCGGACGGCCGGGGGCAGGGGTGCGGCGTTGGGGGCTCGCTGGGGTTACGCCCGCTCTCCCGCAGGTGGAGGCCGCCCGCAAGGCCATCCGCTCGGCGCAGGTGGAGCGGTACGTGCCCGAGCACGAGCGGGGCTGCTGGTGCCCGTGCTGCGGCTGCGAGGTGCGCAAGCACCTGAGCCACGGGAACCTGACGGTGCTGCACGGGGGGCTGCTGGAGCATCTGGCCAGGTGAGGCCCGGGGCGTCCGCCCGCGCGGGAGGGGCGTGAGCAGGGTGCATGGGCGCCCCCTCGCAGGTGTCGCGTACCCGAGGGGTGGAGGGCTTTGGGCGGCCTGGGGCCCGTGGTGGCGGTGGTCACACTGGGAAAGCCCCGGACAGCGGGCTCACGGTCACCCCATCGCCCCCTCTTGGGCTCTCACCTGGTCTTCGGGGAAGAGGCCGGTGCAGTCCTTCCCTGCCCGCCTTTCCCAGGGGCAGAAACCCAGCGCCCACCTATCGGTAATATTCTGTCATCTGTCCTGAGATTATTCACCCTCTCCGTTCTCAGCCCGGAGCATAAGAAAGCAACGAACCGATTCTGGTGGGAGAACAAGGCCGAGGTTCGGATGAAGGAGAAGGTTCTCGTCTCCCCTCAAGAGTATGCGCAGTAAGTCGCTGCTTAGGGAAGGTGAAGGAGCAGAGTGTGCGTTCTCTGGGTCTGTGCTAAGAACGGGAGCTCCCTCTGCTAACTGGGAAGTTTATTTTTTTATTTTTTATTTATTTTTTATCCTCATCCGAGGACATTTTTCCATTTTTTGTACAGACAGAATGGGAGGGAGAGAGAGGAAGAGAGAGAGAGGGAAACATCGATGTGAAAGGGACACATCGAGTGGCTGCCACCCGCACGACCAACCGGAGCCGGGGACAAACCGCAACCGAGGTATATGCCCTTAGCGGGAATCGAACCCGGGTCTCTCCAGACCGCAGGCGGACGCTCTAACCGCTGAGCCAAACCGGCCAGGGCAAAAGAGAGCCATCATCCTTTTTTTTTTTTTGGTACGTGCCCCTAGCAGGAACGGAACCCGGGACTCTCTGGTCCACAGACCGATGCTCCAACCGCTGAGCCAAACCGGTCAGGTCTCTGCTAACTGGGAAGTTTAGTGAAGACTTCACGAGAACCTGGGATTTCTGGGCACCATGCTGGACACACAAGGAATCGGACCGCCTTCGAAAGGTTTATAGTCTAGTGGGGGACGGTATTTACAGTACCTTTAGCAAATCGACAAGGGCACGCAGTAAAAACTACAGTCGCTCACTTAAATGTGTGGCGCAGTGAATGCCACTACGCCCCTTTAGGAATAGAAGAGGTGGTTGATCTGTGCTCACCCAGCACCCACTCTGAATAGTTGCAGATTCTGTTCTGCCCGGCCTCTGTGGGACCCTCGGAAACAAATGCTGGAAGCTGGTCAGCACAGAGTGGGTGTGAGCCCCGAGTGCCTCAAGGACAGTACACAGGACCACATTGAGATTACGGGATGCGGGGCCCATAGAGAGCCCAGAGCCAGAGCTGAGGAGATACTCCTGGTCTGTCATTCCTTCCTACAGCGTGGAGAACAGTGAGGGAACGCTGGGAAATGCCCAAACCCCACCCCTTGCCTTTAAACCTGTGGTCCAGATGGCAGGAGACGGCAATCTGAGGACAGAAGCACCCACGCCTCATACCCTGACCCCGCTACCTAGGGTTTCTGTGGGTGAATAAAGGACAGTTGAGCAGAAAAGTTTATGACTGCGAATTATAAGGATGGACTCTTGGAACTTTTTATTTAAATATAGTTTTGACTTTTAACCTTATATATTTTGAGCACACACACATAAGACCAGACAAAGCCGAGCCTGGATGATAAAATGAGCCACGTTTAGGTTTAGACAATTTATTGCTTACATAGGCAGCAAAAAGAGGAAGCCAGAATTGCCAGCCCCCAGGTCCTTGTCCCATGTGCCCAAAAGGACCACACTGAAGCAGGAAGGGCTGGCGCCTCAGCATGAGTTGTGGGGAGATGCTGGGGAGCCAGATGGAGACTGCAGCTGCACGGTGTTCTTTTCTTTGTGAAATTTTTTTCCTTTATGTTACAGAGAGGGGAAGGGAGAGGGAGAGCGAGAGAGAAACATCGATGAGAGAGAACATCGATCAGCCGCCTCCTGCACGCCCCCCACTGGGGACCCGGCCCACAACCTGGGCATGTGGCCTGACTGGGAATTGAACTGAACCTCTTGGTGCAGGGTCGACGCTCAGCCACTGAGCCGCACCGGCCAGACAGCTGCATGGCTTGCAAGTCTGCAGCTCTGCTCTGCGGGCAGAAAGCCCACACTCGGCAGAGCCCAGTAGTTGGTGAGGACCTGGGTCCTGGCAGCCTCCCAGGGAAGAGCGGGGGACCAGTGGGAGATGCCTCAGCAGCTCCTTTCAGGCCTCCTGCCCTCTCGTGTTCTGGGAGGGTGACAGGCCTTCAGCCAGGACTCGGACGCGCTGCGGTTCGAGGCTTTGCCTCTGTGGATGCGTGTGAGGCTGCCAGGGCACCATGGGAGAACTGTTCCCCTGCATCCTTGTTTTACATGTTAAGATTCTGCTAGAAAACAGATCCTAAAATGGATTGCAGAGATAAATGTCCTTAATTATAAATTAAATTGATAACAATCACAAACAAAAGAGCAAGAATTCAAGTTTTTTTTTTTTTTTATCCGCACCCGAGGACATTTTTCCATTTTTTGTACAGACAGAGTGGGAGGGAGAGAGAGGAAGAGAGAGAGAGAAACATCGACGTGAAAGGGACACATCAAGTGGCCGCCACCCGCATGACCAACCAGGGCCGGGGACAAACTGCAACCGAGGTACATGCCCTTAGCGGGAACCGAACCCGGGTCTCTCCGGACCGCAGGCGGGCGCTCTAACCGCTGAGCCAAACCGGCCAGGGCTCAAGTTAACTTTTGTACACAAAATTCTGAGTGTACATCTTAGAAGGGTGTTTTCTTTTTTTATCCTCACCCGAGGACATTTTTCCATTTTTTGTACAGATAGAATGGGAGAGAGAGAGAAGAAGAGACAGAGAGAGAAACATTGATGCGAAAGGGACACATCGAGTGGCTGCCTCCCGCATGACCAACCAGGGCCGGGGACAAACTGCAACCGAGGTACATGCCCTTAGCGGGAACCGAACCCGGGTCTCTCTGGACCGCAGGTGGACGCTCTAACCGCTGAGCCAAACCGGCCAGGGCGAAGGGTGTTTTCTTTTTTTTAGCAATAATCGCGCCTCGGATAAACCTCATTGGCTAAGATACTGCCACTGCGCAGAGCTTAGACGGATATTTTCTAAGGACTAAAGAACTGAAAAGAAATCTTGAGCTTTGCTTAGTAGTTTTATTGTTTGTTTCACGATGGCAGAGCCAGGTGGGAGGTCCAGACCCACCACTGTGGGCTGGGAGCTCAGGAGGGCTGGGAGGGGTCCCCAGACACCCCCAGGGTGAGGAGGAGGTTGGATTGGGAAAGGCAGTGAAGGGCCAGCGCTCTGGGTGGGGCCTGTCTCCTTGGTCCTTTCCCACAAGCTGGCTCAGCCTGGCACACAGCCTCTTCCCTGAAAAGCAGTTTCATTGTCGATAGAGGTATCGGTATTCGGGGGTGTGTGTGTGTGATGAAACAGCTGTGACTACAGTTGACCCTTGAACATGGGCTTGAACTATATGGGCCACTTGTACACGTTTTTCAGTTGACCAGTGCAGTTCAAACCCATGTGGTGTAAGGGTCAGCTCCCCGGGGTCAGGCCTACATATGCTAAGGGCCAGCTGTAGCCATATGTGGACTTCCTGTGCAGGAGGTCGGTGCCCCTGATCCCCATGTGTTCAGTAGTAAACTGGAGACTGGCGTTGGGGACCAGGGATCTTGGTGTGGCAGAAGGAAGACGTCAGTAAGGAATAGGAGGGATTTGACTGTGAAGTATCAGTGTGAAGTTTTGATTTCAGAAAATCAAAGCTCTGTCCTCTGAAAGAGCTAGAAGCATGACACTTGTGGAGCCATGAACTTGACTGACACTTGGCTCTGTTTCTAAATTCTCCTTTCTCCTAGAGCAGTGGTTCTCAACCTTCCTAATGCGACAACCCTTTAATGCAGTTCCTCATGTTGTGGTGACCCCCAACCACAAAATTATCTTCATTGCTACTTCATAACTAATTTTACTACTGTTATGTCTTAGGCGACCCCTGTGAAAGGGTCGTTCGACCCCCAGGTTGAGAACCTTTATTAAAGGAGCCAGCTCTCTTTGAGAAATGGTTCCTTTCCGGTGTGGAGCAGGGAAGGAACACGGTGAGCCTGTGGAGTGATCCGGAGGATCAAGGCGCTGGTTTGAAGGTTCCCTCAGGAGCCACGTACGGGGATAATTTGAATATCAAAAAACAAACTGATTTTCTTAAATGTGGCGATGATTTCATAGACTGTTTCTGTGCTCCAGGAGATGCATGCTGAATTAGTTAGTTAGGTCTCGTGTCTAAAATGCATTTTTGCTTTGGCAAAAAGGAAATGGGCGTGAATGGAAGTGGAGCCAGCATGGAAAAATGTTAACTGAATCTGGAGAGGGACAGGTGTCCATTGTACTGCTTTCTTTCTGAGAGTTTGGAATCACTCACAATTTAAAGAAAAAATGATCTACGAAGGATCTCTTCACAACTGGCAGGGCCTGGGGTTCTGGGCTGACTTGTCCTTTCTCTTTTTAGATTCAAGAAATCCGTGGTGAAAGGTTTGGATTCCTATGAGGAAAAAGAGGATGAGGTGATCAAAGAGGTAAGCTAAAGGCAAGGCCTCTGGCCCCGGCCGCTTTGCCAGCGGTTGTGTGGCCGTGGACCAAAGTCGCGGGTTCGATTGCAGTCAAGGGCACATACCTCAGTTTTGGTTCAGTCCCCGGCCCTGATTGGGGTCCTGCAGGAAGCAACCAATCAATGTGTCTCTTTCATGTCGATGTTTCTCCCTCCCCCCTCCCTCCCCCCCTTCCCCCCCTCCTTCCTCCCCTCCCACCTCCCCTCCCACTCTGTCTGGAGGACCTAGACCCCTGATCTGCAAGCTCACAGCCTCTCTCCCCCAGATGGCGGCTCACATCCGCGAGGTGGAGCACAGCCGGCAGGAGTTGGTGCGGTCCACCTTAGAGGTTGGTTTCCCTCGGAGAAGCCAGAGCAGTATCCAAATCCACTGATCCCTGGTTCCCCCAGGTCCAGCATTCCACCTGCCAACTCTAAGAAAACTCACGGATGCCGTGCTTCACCTGTCTGCCAGGGGGCAGGCCTTGTCAGTGGAGCCGATGTGGGCAGGGTTGGGAGGGAGGGGAGTTTGCAAGATGGCCAGGGTTGCTAATTTGTGTCCTTTTGGAGGGTGGGAGCGTGGCCTAGGCAGACTCTTAAGCATCCTAGACACATTCGTTTTTCCTGAATCAAACTCAGCCTCAGGCAGTGCCAAACCCGGAAGAGGGCTCTTCGGCACCTGGAAGCTGGAAAGGGACCAACGGGTAAGAGTGAAGGGATCTCTGGTTGTGTTTGACCTGTTAGAGCATCTAACTTGCTGGCTGGCATGTGGGAACAAATCCTCATGCTCAAGGACCTTGTTTGCCAGCCTGGCTCCTGTTTGTCTTTTTCAGTCAAGTAGCCTCCACTTCGCAGTGGCCCTCGTCCTTGGACCTGCCGCCCGCCCCGGAGCCTGACTGGATGGAGACAGGACAGCCTCTGACATTCATTGGTCATCAGGTACCATGGATGAGCCAGCCAGTAAAGAGCCGATGCCTCAGCTCCCAGGACACCCCTCTGCCGGGTTCCCTGCCCGTTCCTGTCTTCTCTGCTGGCGTTTCTCTCTGCCTGCACCGCTGCACTGCTTTCAGACATATTTCCTCACCTCCATCCACACTGTTGTCCCCTCTGCCGCTTAGCAGTGCCAGCGCCTGTGCGTCCTCTGGAGGACCCACTGTCCAGTGCAGCACGTTTGCAGCACCGCACAGCCTAACCCTCGTTTCCAGTGACTAGGTGCGGGCCCTCAGCCTGTCTCCCGCATCCTGTCCTGCTGTCTCAAGGCGAGCTGGCCTCCTGCACGCCCCACTCCGTCCTCTGAGAGTCCCTGTCACCTGCTGTCTGCAGCACACGCTGCAGCTGGACAGCGCCTTCCCTTTCTGCACAGGCAGAGATGCTTTCCTCCCTGGTCCCCAGTTAACACCAGCCTTCCTCAGCTCGAGTGTCACTTTCTCTGTAAGGCTTATCCGAGCTCACCTTGTATAAATGGGTGTAGTTAGTAGCAGGTAAGCATCCCAGTCCGACGGGACGTACGCTAGGAAAGGGTTTGTTTACCTGGGGTGTGGCAGGCCCATCTCCACTGCCAAGCCCTTGAGTTTCCTGAGGACAACGTGCAATGATTTCCTGTACCCTTAAGACTCATCAGCAGGGGACAGAATTGGCGCCGTGGCACTGGGTCCACCCACCTCCTATAGTTTGCCCTTTCTCTAGCTCCAAGGATCCTCGTATCTTTTGGCTTTCTATAGCTGGGATTTTTTTTTTCTTTCCCATTTCCAACTACAGGACACACCAGGAGTTGGTAACATCCACTCAGGTAAGGCCCAGGACAGTACTGCTCAAACTGTAAGAGGCAGTTGTTTTATTTTTTGGTACGTGGCCCTAGCGGGAACCGAACCCGTGACTGGTTCGTAGGCCGGGCAGAGGCAGTTATTTTTTCAAGTAAACTTGAATCTTGTCTCAGTCTTCTGGCTATGATCACGTGTAGAGTGAATGAGTGTGTGTAACATCAGTTTGTTCCACTTACTTATGATTAATTTCTTGGTTCTTTTTTTAATCCTCATCCAAGAATCGTTTTCCATTTATCTTCAGATAGAGTGGGAGGGAACATCTATGTGAGACACATCAATTGGTTGTCTCCTGCACAACCCTGACCAGGGCTGGGGGCTGAAATACGTGCCCCTGACCAGAACTGAACCCACAACTCTTTGGGCTACAGGCCGACGCTAACCACTTAGCACACTGGCCAGGGTATTTGTTGATTCTTGTAGGTGCCCTGACCAGGGAGTGAGTCTGCAGCCTTGGTGTATCAGGATGCTGCTCTCACCAGCTGAGCTGGCCAGCCAGGGCCGTGTCTGTTCTTACCAGTTTAGTATCTGGTACATCTTGTGTGAGGACAGCGCAGTAAATGGACTTTTGGAAGAGGAAGATAGAATAGGAACTTCTCCACCCACTCAGTACATCTGTGTCCAGTACTGCAGTACCTCCCAGAATAGCACACTAGGAAAAACAAGAAATCTTGTCATTTGCAACAACATGGGTATTATGCTGAGTGAAATAAACCAGAGAAAGACAAATACCATACAATTTCATTTACATGTGGAATCTAAAAAAAACAAACACCCATAGATAGAACAAACTGACAGTTTCCAAAAGGTAGAGGGGACGAGGATGCAAAGGAAAGAGAAAGGAAGAGCGAGCTCTATGTGATGCAAGGACATGGGTCCTGAATATACCCAGGACTCCATGAAGGCGTATAAAACGGGTGCTCGTCATAAGGGCTAAAATGGCACAACCACTCTGGAAACAGCCCAGCAATTTCTTAAAATTAAATATACATCATGCTCAGTTGCTCAGTTGTTAAAAGTGTCGGCACATGGACCAATGGGCCATGGGTTCAATTCCAGCCACGGATGTGTACCTTGGTTGCGGTTCTTCCCCAGCCCAGGTCAGGTGGTGTGGGAGGCAACCAGTCGATGTGTCTCTCTCCCCCTCCCACTATCTGAACATAAATGGAAAAAGTGTTCTCAGATGAGAATTAAAAAATGTAAACATACACGATCCCGTCATTCCAAGAGAAAAGAAAGGCTCGTGTACACATTGTCACAGCAGCTCTGTCTTTGGTAGACAAACTCAATGCAGACACGCATGACAAACGCAGCAGCCAGAGGAGCTGTCCATACACGCAAGTGCCCGGTTCAACGAGCCCTTCTCTTCCAGGCGCCACACCTCCCTGGATGGCCCAAGACGAGGAGCACAGCTCTGGGAACCAACAGATAGGACCCTCCTATGAGGAATTTCTTAAAGAGAGTGAGTGAGCTAATTCAAGAACGGCAGTGGGTGTTTCTTAAATCTTCCTACTCAAGTAAAACCACCTAACTATTGTTCCAGAGGAAAAACAGAAACTGAAGAAACTCCCCCCAGACAGAGTGGGGGCCAACTTTGACCACAGCTCCAGCACCAGCGCGGGCTGGCTGCCCTCCTTCGGCCGGGTCTGGAATAACGGACGCCGATGGCAATCCAGGTGTGTGTGGGTCCAGTGCCAGGACCCCAACCCACCACCCCTTTGTCCTGTTAACCCTTCATTTCCTTTCAGGCATCAATTCAGAACCGAAGCCGCAGCGAGGAGCAAACGGCAGTCACATAAAGAAAAGCCGGTTTCTTAAGGCTCAAAGCCAGGTCAGCTCCCCTGCACCTGCTATTATCCTTTGTGACTGCCTCTCTTAAGGAACAGACGTACCCACTTATTGATTTAATAAAGTTTTATTTTTCAAAATGTACACCGGGTAACCTGTAAAAAAAATTAAAAGAAAGAATCAGTCTACAGTCGGGGACACATACTTCCTGTACCCGAGCCCCTGGGCTCTTGCTCACCTGTTGTTCACGCATCTTCTCCAGCAGCTGGGGCGTCCCCACCTTTTGTGTTCCTGGTGTAAATTACTTGAGCTCTGTGCTTGGAGACTAGTTTAATAAGCCCTAAGGAGAAAAAATAAGTGTTTTCACATAGTACGATGACATACAAATAGACATTAGAAAGTCAGTTCCAGCCCTGGCCAGTTTGGCTCAGCAGTTAGAGCATCTGCCTATGGCCCAAAGAGTCACGGTTCAATTCCAGTCAAGGGCATGTACCCCAGTTGCAGTTCATCCCCGGCTCTAGTCAGGGTCCTGCAGGAGGCGGCCAGTGGATGTGTCTCCCCCTTCCCCCCACTCTACCTGAAGATAAATGGAAAAATTTGCTCAAGTGAGGATTTAAAAACCAAAAAGTGAGTTCTAGCCGGGCCGGTGTGGCTCAGTGGATTGAGCATCATCCCAGGCACTGAGATCCTGGCTCAATTCCCCTTCTGGGCACATGTCCAAGTTGCAGGCTCCATCCCCCAGTAGGGGTGTGCAGGAGGCACCTGACTGATGTTTCTCTCTCCCTCCCTTCCTTTCTAAAAAACCAATGAAACATTTTTAAGAAAGTGAGCCCTGGCCGGTTTAGCTCAGCAGTGAGAGCATCTGCCTGCGGTCCGGAGAGACCTGGGTTCGGTTCCCGCTAAGGGCATGTACCTCGGTTGCAGTTTGTCCCCGGCCCTGGTTGGTCGTACGGGTGGCAGCCACTCGATGTTTCCCCCTCTCTCTCTCTTCCTCCCACTCTATCTGTGCAAAAAATGGAAAAATGTCCTCGGGTGAGGATAAAAAAAAAAAAAAAAGAGTGACTTTGCCCGGCCAGTGTGGTTTGGTTGGGTGTCGACCCATGTACTAAGAGGTCCAATTCCCAGTCAGGGCACATGCCCAGGTTGTGGGCCAAATCATGGGGGGGGGGGGGGGATAATGCAGGAGGCAGCCAACCAACCTTCTTGATCATCGATGTTCCTATCTCTATCTCTCCCTCTAAAAATCAATAAAGTAAAAGAAAAAAAAGATGCTGCCCTGGCCGGTTTGGCTCAGCGGTTAGAGCGTCGGCCTGCGGTCCTGAGAGACCCGGGTTCGGTTCCCACTAAGGGCACATACCTCGGTTGCAGTTTGTCCCCGGTCCTGGTCGGTTGTGCGGGTGGCAACCACTCGATGTGTCCCTCCACATCGATGTTTCTCTCTCTCTGTTCCTCTCTCTCCCTCCCACTCTACCTGAACAAAAAATGGAAAAATGTCCTCGGGTGAGGATTAAAAAAAAAGAAAAAAAAGATGCTGAATTTGAACGTGAGAGTTCAGTAACAAAGAGACATACACATACCTTCATTTCTTGGTGATAACCTGATTTTATAAGTCCTTTCTAAAGGAGGGACCCATGACCGGCTCTTGAGATGGCCACACTCACAGCACGTTGAGGCAGTACACATGGCCTCACCAAGCTGTCACAGGGCCCCGCACAGAAATGGCTGCTAAGGGTAACACGTTTGAATCATGTTACTAACCACCACTGGTTACCCCGAGCCCATTTTAAAAAGTTCCAATAACCTGGCTGGCCTGGCTCAGTGTACTGAGCATCATGCCATCGACTGAGAGGTCCCAGTTCAATTCAGAGTTGGGGCAGACGCCCGGATTTCTAGCTCAGTTCCCAGTGGGGGGCGTGCAGGAGGCGGCTGAGCCACGCACCTCTCTCCTGTGGATGTTTCTCTCTCTAAAATATCAATAAAAACCCATTTTTAAAAAAACAAGTAAAATCCCAGTAAGAACACTTGAGACGGCTGACGCGGAGGCCAACTGAGCGAGCAGCCGCACACGAGCAGCACAGCGCGCGCACCTTTGCTGAGCAGCTCCTGGAGGGCGGCCCTGGCCAGGGAGCCGCGGATCTTCAGTCGCTCGGAGACGACAGCCGGGGTTATGAGCTTGTAGTTGGGAACCTCCTTGCAGAGCTTGTCGTACGTCGCCTTGTCGAACAGGACCAGGTTGTTGAGCTTGTCCCGGACTTTGCCTTTGGACCACTTCTGCTCGCAGACAAACAGGAAACGAGTCAGCGCCCCTAGAAGCGCCCCCCTTTCTCTCCGTGTGTGTCGGGCGGCACCCAGGGGGCTGTTTCCCCGCCTGCAGAGGCTCCACCCCGAGATCCCAGTACCTGGGGGGCCAGGATCCAAAACAAAGGCCCCCTGCTCAGCCTCAGACAAGCCAGACCCACAGGTGTCTGCGACTCCGGGACGTGGGCTGAGCCCCATCGGGCCGACAACAGGCCCGGGGCCAGGCGGCGGCAGACGGGCGCCCGAACAGGGCCCGGCGCCCAGCGCTCGCGGCCCGACCCCACGCCCCACGGCGCGCCAGGCCTCGGCCACGTGCCCCTCATCGCCGCAGCAACGGGGGACGGGCGCCCCGGTTTCCTCCCTCGCCGGGGGGCGCACGCCTACCTTCTTCTTGGCTTTGCCCCCAGACTTGTTCACTGGGTCCTTGTCTTTCTTGGCCGACTTCCCGGCGTCCTTCTTCTTCTTGTCGTCCTTGGGCGGCTGGGGACAGAGGCGGGAGAGTCAGGTCCTCGCGGGCGCCGACTCCCCCGGCGCAGCACGTGGCAGCAGGCCCCGCGCCCCCCGCCGCAGCCCGGTCCGGAGCCTCCTCCCGCTGCGCCTCGGCGCGCGGCCCCGCCGCCCGGCCCCGCGCCGCCACACTCACCATAGCGAAACCCCGGGAGCAGCGGCGACCACCGCGGCCTCCACAAGATGTCGGACGAAAAGGAAACGCCGCTCGCCAGCAGGCCCAGAAACCTTCCCCCGCCGGCCAGTGCTTCCGGGGCAGGGGGCGGGGCTCCGCGGAGGCCGCTCAGGCCCCGCCCCTCGCGGAAGCTGGAGGCGGCCTGAGGCCCTGCGCTCCGCCCCTTGGCGCGCGGACAGCGGCCGCCAGCTTTGAACGGGTCGCGCGTTGCGAGGTCCTGGCACTAAGAACCGGGGGAGGGACGGAAAGCAGTTTTCAGGCCCTGGCCACTAATCTCGCGTTACCCCCAAGCGTGTCGCCTCAAGTGCGCATGCGCCGCAGGGGCGGGGCCGGGGCGGGGCCGGAGTCGGAGGGAGGGAAACGGGCACGAGACCACGGCTCCGGGGCGGAGCCAGAGGCGGGGCGGAGGTGGGCGCAGGACTGAGCTTCCGGGTCGGGACCGGGAGGCGGGCGGAGGCGGGCCAGGACTGCGGTTCCGGACTGGGCCTAGAGGCGGGGCGGAGGCGGGCCGGGACTGAGTTTCCGGGAGGCGGGGCGGAGGCGGGCTGGCACGAGCTTCCGGGAGGCGGGGCGGAGGCGGGCCAGGACTAAGGTTCCGGGGCGGGGCCGGGAGGCGGGGCGGAGGCGGGCGGGGACTTAGCTTCCGGGGCGGGGCGGAGTCGGACTGGGACTGAGGTTCCGGGCCGGGGCCGGGGCCGGGGCCGGGAGGCGGGGCGGAGTCGGGCCGGAGTCGGGCCGGCACTGCGGTTCAGGGGCGCGTCCGGGGCCGGGAGGTGGGGCGGAGGCGGGCCGGGACTTAGCTTCCGGGGCGGGGCGGAGTCGGACTGGGACTGACGTTCCAGGCCGGGGCTGGGGCCGGCAGGCGGGGCGGAGGCGGGCCGGGACTGAGGTTCGGGGCCGGGGCCGGGGCCGGGACCGGCAGGCGGGGCGGAGGCGGGCCGGGACTGACGTTGCGGGCCGGGGCTGCGGTTCAGGGGCGCGGCCGGCCCAGTCCCGTCTCGCCGCCGGGCCGCAGCCATGGCCATTTTCAGCGTGTACGTGGTGAACAAAGCCGGCGGCCTGATTTACCAGCTGGACAGCTACGCGCCGCGGGCGGAGGCCGAGAAAACGTTCAGTTACCCGCTCGACCTGCTGCTCAAGCTCCACGACGAGCGAGTGCTCGTTGCCTTCGGCCAGCGCGACGGCATCCGGGGTGGGCTGGGCTCGGGGTGGGTCTGCGGGGGCGCCGGGCGGGCGCCGCGGCCCCGATCCTGACCGGTGCCCTCCCTCGGCAGTGGGCCACGCGGTGCTGGCCATCAACGGCATGGACGTGAACGGCAAGTACACGGCCGACGGGAAGGAGGTGCTGGAGTACCTGGGCGACCCTGCGCACTACCCGGTGTCCATTCGGTTCGGCCGGCCCCGCCTCACCTCCAATGAGAAGCTCATGTTGGCCTCCATGTTCCACTCGTGAGTCCTCCGACCTGCCTGGTGCCCGTGGCCCGTCTGTCCTCCTCCCAGATCGTCTCTTCTCGTGTTATGCAGAGAGAAAGAACTGGTTCAGTACGATGCGACTTTAGGCAATAGTGCCAGTGGGGTGACGTTGCTTAGGCCATCTTCTCCGAACCTTAGTTTCTCCTTCTTTGTAGCAAGGCAGTTCAACTAAAAGATTTTTAAGATCTTTTTCTGTTCGGAGCAGCAGCGTGATGCGCTGGGTATGCCAGCCTCGGGATAAATAACATGGCACACTTCCCCCAGAGCGGCTTGTGTGACATGTGCTGTAGCCAGTCACGGGTGCATAGTGAGTCCTCGCTCAACCTCCTCAGTGGGCTCTGCAGCATTAAGTAAAAGGAGGTACGGTTGACCCTTGAACAATGAGGGGGTTAAGGGTGTAAGCTCCACATTTAATTTTGTTTTTTTATGCTCATCCAAGGACATTTTTCCATTTTTTGTTCAGATAGAGTGGGAGGGAGAGAGGAAGAGTGAGAGAGAGAGAAACATCGACGTGAAAGAGACACATCAAGTGGCTGCCTCCCGGCACTGACCCAACCAGGGCTGGGGACAAACTGCAACCAAGGTACGTGCCCTTAGTGGGAACCAAACCCAGGTCTCTCTGGACTACAGGCCGATGCTCTTAACAGCTGAGCCAAACCGGCCAGGGCCCCACATATAATTTTTGACTTCCCCAAAACAACTAGTCATCCCTTGGTATCTGCCGGGGATTGGTTCGGGGACCCTTGCAGATACAGAAATCTGGATGCTCAAGTCCCTTATATAAAATGGCATGGAACAGGCCCTGCCAGGGTAGCTCAGTTGGTTAGGGCATCGCCCAGATACACCAAGGTTGTGGGTTCACTCCCTGATCAGGGCACATAGAAGAATCAGCCAAAAAAATAAGTTGAACAACAAATCAGTGACTCTCCTCCTCCTGCTCCTCCTCCTCTTCCCTCGCTTCTTTCCTCTTTCTCTCAAATCGATAAAATTAAATAAGTAAAACAGCATAAAACAGTGAAGTCAGCCCTCTACCCCCAGGAACTCCCAGCTGTGGATTGAAAATATTGCAGAGTTAGTTGAATCTTTGTATTTGGAAACCATAGATAGGAGGGCCAACTAAATATTTATTGAAAAAGATTGGGTGTATGTGGACCCACACAATTCAAACCTGTGTTGTTTAAGTGTTAGCTGTGTAATGAAACCAGTTTTGCTGTAGGCTGATATGAACAAAAGTTCAGTTCCTGCAGCATCTTATCAATGTTATAGTAAAACAGTGTTATTTGAGGACTTGCTGTCAAATCCATGCAGAATTCGAATGAACTTGAAAAAAGTTTTGATACTGCTCCTCAGCAGTTCGCACTGCCTCCTGTGCGGCCTGCGGCTGGAATGTGAGCGGCAGATAGGGTCACTTCAGTGGAAAATGTGGGGAAGCACTCCTGTACAGCAGTGGGGTGCATTCCCAGCTCTGCCTCCTTTGCACATAGGCTGTTCGCAATTGGCTCCCAGCTGTCGCCGGAACAGGGCAGTTCAGGCATTGAGATGCTGGAGACAGACACATTCAAGCTGCACTGCTTCCAGACACTGACAGGTACGCATCTCCCGACAGGCCAGGGGGATGCAGTGGGAAGGTTGGGGGAAGGGATCTACCGAAGCTTTGGTGAGCTGTGTGTGTGTGTGGGGGGGGGGGGTTTTCCTCGGACAGTTGCACAGATACACCTATTTATTTGTTCAGCGACTTCGAAGCTAATATTTAATCAGATGCTGATTTTGTCCACAACACTCAGCGTGCTCAGCCCTGGTTATCCTGTGCACAGATAAACTCACCTTAACGTGATCTCATGTTGCACACATTTGGAAGGTGTCGGTGTTGTTTCAAAATGAAATTTGAATGCCAGGTGGAAATGACCTTTGGATCACAAGTTTCATTGCTTCACTCGCTTAATGCAAATAATTGGAAATTGCCTGAGTTTGTCCCCTGCCTGGCACTTTCTGCTGAGGGACCCCCAAGACTAGAAGAGGGTGACAGAGCTAGAACTCAAGGCCTGTTTTTTTTGTTTGTTTTTTTATCCTCACCCGAGGACATTTTTTTGTCTTTTGTTCAGATAGAGTGGGAGGGAGAGAGAGAGAAACATCGACGTGAAAGGGACACATTGAGTAGTTGCCACCTGCATGACCCAACCAGGGCCGGGGACAAACCGCAACCAAAAAAATATGGAACGCTTCACGAATTTGCATGTCATCCTTGCGCAGGGGCCATGCTAATCTTCTCTATATCGTTCCAATTTTAGTGTATGTGCTGCTGAAGCCAGCACTCAAGGCCTAGTTTTAATCAGCTGGGTGATGTGGTAAAGTCACTTCAAGTCTCTGGTCTCACCTGTAGGCTTATTTTTTTATCCTCACCCGACATTTTTTTGTTTTTTGTTTAGGTAGAGTGGGAGGGAGAGAGGAAGAGAGAGAGAGAAACATCGACATGAAAGGGACACATCGAGTGGTTGCCACCCACACGACCAACCAAGGCCGAGGTACATGCCCTTAGTGGGAACCGAACCTGGGTCTCTCTAGACCGCAGGCCAGTGCTCTAATCGCTGAGCCAAACCGGCCAGGGCTCACCTGTAGGCTTAAAACATTGCTTTTCCTGCTTGGTGGAGCAGTAAGGATCAAATAAAACGGGCTGATGAAATCGCTTTGCAAAACGGAAGTGCTGCACACAGGGTGACGTCACCTGTCGTGTTCTGTACGCTTTGTAACCATTCCTGCCTTCCCCAGGGATCAAGTTTGTGGTGCTGGCAGACCCTAGGCAATCTGGAATAGATTCTCTGCTCCGGAAGATTTATGAGATCTACTCAGACTTTGCTCTCAAGAATCCATTCTACTCCCTGGAAATGCCCATCAGGTAGGGGCCCCCTCCCCAGATCAACCCTCCTTGCCCCAACCAGTGCGTTCTTCTGCAAAGTCATTTTGAAGTACAATGGAGATATTTCTGAATAAAACAAGAGTGAGTAGCCTTTCACTTGTTTAAGAAAGCAGAGCCTTTCCTTGGGGTTCAGGTCCCTCGAGCAGGCTCTTCCTGGCTTTGCCCTGCACCCAGAGCGGGGAGTGCGCCTCAGGCCTCACGGTGCCCTTGTTTGTGCCTCCTGGGCCTGGTGCAGGTGTGAGCTGTTTGACCAGAACCTGAAGTTAGCCCTGGAGGTGGCAGAGAAGGCTGGAACTTTTGGACCTGGGTCATAGGCTGAACCTGCAGCAGTGCCCCCAACACACCCCTCTCTCCACCTTCCTAAATTCTGAGAGGCCCTGTAGCAGGAGTCTTGCTGGTTCCACCCCAGTGGAAGTCCCAGCAGCCTTGTAGTACACTGGAAATGGGGTGCTGAGCCTGGTGACGCGTACTGATGCCTGAGCCGTAACACTCGCTCTTCCTGTTTCTGTCATGGTCCTGCTGTCCAGTTCTGTACAGATTATTTATGAAGGAGAGAGGCCCACGAACTCTGTAATAAACATTCCTTCCGTCTGAGTGTTTGCTGCTATGCTGATTGATGGTTTGGGGGAGAAGGCCCAGGAGGGGACACAGGAGTAATGAGGGAATTTTGAGGAGATATTCTAGTTAAAAGCAGAACAAATATGTTCATTAAGTGAATGAACGTGGGACTTTGAACCAGGGGCCTTGGGTCTAGTTTCATAATTGGTACTGACTTCCTGGGGTGGTGGTGATGGAGCATTTACCACGTGTTTACAGCCAGGCTCTGCTGCTCCGTCTCATTAGTCCTCACCCAAACCTCGGGGTGACATGGTATCATAGACGACATTTAGCCAGGCCAGTCTCTGCTCCAGGCCTCAGTTACCGACTTGAACCCAGGCTCTCTGGCTATACTCAGCACTGTCTCCCTCCATTAAGTGGTGCAGTCGGCCTGCAACCCAGCAGCTTCGTCTCTGAAGTGACTTGAATTAGACAGTGTCCAGTTGAAGGCAGAGGGGACTTAGAGGAGGCCGTGTCAGCTTTTCCGTCCCGGGAAGCGAAGTCTCACCTCTGGGGTAGGAAGGCACTGGGAGGCCTTCGCAGAGAACGGGTCTGGCTTATGCACCCTTGTGGAAGGAGGACTCACCGACGTGTTTATTATCAAATCTAGTTTTAATCTTCTGTGGGTCTCCCTGCCCCACCCGTACCCTCTATGCACCAGGATGACGGTGAGAGTGACCGTCTCTCCCCGGGGCCTGAGTGCGCAGTGGCAGCGACCCCGACCGAGGCCTCGGGGCAGAAGGCAGCGGCCATGGGGCCGGCAGCTGCCGGAGAAGCCTCATCTCTGGGGGGGTGGGAGCAGAGCCCAGGAGAGAAAAGTCTGGGAGACTCCCTAGCTGCAGGGGTTTCCTGTTTGAAGGCAGAAAATAGGAGCTAATGGAGTCCAAGAACAAAGGTTGTCTTTTAGATGGAGCCCAGGATGGGGAGCTGGAACCTCTACGCTGAGAATCCCCAGTGCCACCTGGGCAGGGAAAGGAGCGGGTCGAAGGTCCAGTGCTCTCGGAGCAGACCCTCTTCCCGACCCCGTGCGGTGGAAGGCGGCGGGGAGGGCCCTGGGGCCCGCACTCCTCACTCGGCCTTCTTGGGCACTCGGCCCATCTTGGTGCGGATGTTCCGGAGGAGGAAGAAGGCAGCCGTGCAGGCTGCGCAGACCACTTCGGCCACCCAGAAGGCTGTGCTCCAGCTGTAGTGCTTAGCAATGGTGCTGAAGGGCAGCCCCGCCAGAAAGCCCCCCACTGCGGGGAGCAGGGGCAAGAGCCAGGGTCACTGCTGGGACGAGCCGGGGCCTGCCCCAGCCTCTAACCGGGTGAGGGAGAGAACAGGGTGTCACTTACCATTGGCCATGAGTCCCACGATGGCATGGGAGGTGCCACACAAGTTGGGAGGGGCACTCTCATTGGCTATAACTCCAAACAAGGCAATGGGGCCGTAAGAGGAGAAGCCGAACAGAGCTCCCAGCAGCAGGATCCAGAGCTGCAGGGCAGTGAGGGCAGTGAGTCTGCGTGAGCCCGCCCGCCCCCCAGAGGGGAGTGCTTAGCCCCAGGGGTAGTGTGGGAAGGGGACGGGGCCTCCCTCAGCCCACTTCCCAGCACGACCGAGTGCAGAGCTGCAGGAGTGGGCGCCACGGGAGCCAGCCTGGGCCCGTGGGGGGTGAAGAGGTGCGGAAGCCGTCCCTCCAAGTTAGATGCTGTCTCTCGGTGTGTGCAAGCTGGGTTGGCTGGGGGCAAGGCAGAGTGGGTAGGACAAAGGTGAGAAACCAGAGGTAAAGATAAGGCACCTCGTGTTCCTTAAAGCCTGTGAGCTCAGCGAGAGGGTGAAGAGCCAGAGTCCAGAAAGCCACGTCCTGGAGGAGCAGAGGAGAGAAGGAAACCAGGGCCGGAGCCGAGGGGCACCAAGGTGCGGAGGGGAGCAGCCGAGGTACAGACAGATCGAGGAGGGAAGTGGAGCCAGAGAAACCAGGTCAGGCCGCAGCCAGGGAGGAGGAGTCGGTGGCCCATGTTTCTCATCACCCAGGCCAGGCCTCCTGATTTACCTTGGGGGAGTCACTGGTCACAGTCACCCGGAAGAGGTACATGGACGCCGTCATGCCGGCCATCATGAGCAGCAGCAGGCTGTGGCGAGGGTTCCCGTAGGTGGACGGCCCTGCCTGTGGAGAGTCGCAGCAGCAGGAGGCCTAAGAGCGCCCCTGGACTCTTGACACAGCGGGCCTCTCCTGACCGGTCTTTGGCAATCCCCCCGGTTCCTGGCCCGGGTGGCCCTGGGGCCTGCCCACATGCTCTAAGGCCAAACTCCACACGCCCTTCCTCCACCGGGGGCAGCCGGGGCACTGCTGGGGAGCTGCACGCCCCCCACACCCCCACACCTGCTTCCCTGGGCCTGGGAAAGCCCACTGCTAGACGGAGAAGTTCCGGCCGCTGTGAGCCCAGGCAGAGAGCCCGTCTCCACGTCCCTGGCAGAGATCTGAGCTCACTCCTACCTCAGCCCGCACCGGCTCATGCCAGCCTGCCTGTGCCCTGGGCTCCCCTCGTGCGGTCCTGGGGCGCTGGGAGAGGTAAAGGGCTCCTCCCTGTGCCTGTTGCCCACTCACCTTTGCCATGGCCCGGTCTGACAGGTAGCCCGCTGCAATGCTGCCCACAAGGCCCCCGACCTCCAGGGCACTCATGTAGGAGCTACCTGAGTGGGAGTTGTGGGAAGAGGGGAGGAAGGGTGGCAGGGGTTACACACTGGGGTTGTCCCAGATTGGCCTACCCCGGGGAGGTGCAGGTCCCCATGGGTGACTGGTCGCCGCTGCCTCTGGGAAAGAAGGGAGTAACGGGAAGCCGGGCCTGAATCCTGTCCCCTGCAGTTTCTGCTCTGCCGACCCTGTGCCAACACTCGTCTTACCCACGAGTGCTGACTGGCCTTTCTCCTGGATGAGGAAGAACTGGCCCCAGTCAGTACAGCAAGTCTTCACTCCGAACACCACCAGGTAGCCCGTGGAGAGCACCCACAGGTAGGGGGACAGCAGCAGCTCCTGCAGGGTACTCTCCTCCTTTGAGGGGCCTGCGGGGGGGGGGGCAGCTTTAAGCTCTGCTTCTGCTCTCCCCCAGGGCCCACCGATAACCAGCCGCAGGGACGCCATCCCACCCACGAATCAGCAGGAAAGGCTCACCCAGTCTACCCTCTGCCCTCACTGCAACCTCCACAAAGGGAGGCACTGAGGCCCGGGCCAGAGGAGGGCAGCCCAAGCCCTGAACTAGGTGCTGCCCAGGACGGAGGCCTGGCTCTGCCGGGGGAAGGACCAGGGTGTGCTGAGTCAACATGGTTTGGCTCTGCCATTTGGTACTTAATGGCCTCCTGGAGTGGGGTTTATTTACTCCCCACCCACTCTCCATCACCATTCCAACCCCTGTCCATGGGCTGGCACGGGGCCCGGCACACAGCCAGTCCTCGGCGAGTCCACCCAATGAATGACGAAAGCTGGCCAAGGGGTCGGCTTGGGTGGATGCTCACCCTTCCTGCCCTTGGAGGGGGTGGGGTCCAGGTTGCGGAGTCCAACATCAGCAGGTTCGTTGTGGATGAGCAGGAGACAGAGGAAGGAGACGGCCACACACAGTGCCCCAGACAGGGCCAGCGTGCTGCGCCAGCTGTAGCTCTGGGCGAGGATGGTGGCCAGGATGGGGCCCAGCCCTCCGGCCAGGTTCATGCTGGTGGACAGAATGGCCCACCAAGTGCCAAACTGAGATGGCTCGAACCACTGCGGGACAGAGGGGGACAGAGTGGGTGCCCGGCCTACGGTCCATGTAGGAGGGGATCGGGGGCGGACGCAGCTCACATGACAGGAAGGAGGGAAAGGGCACTTCTACTCGGCTGGGCCATGTCCCTCACCTGCCACCTGATCCCACCATGTCCAGGCTCCGAAAATATCTCGACAAGCAACAGGAGCCGGACGGACACTCCCAAGCAAATGTCTGGGGTGGGGGTGGAGGGACCGGGGCTCCCACACGCTCCTCTGGGATCCTCCAGACCAACGCACACAGGCTCCTTGGAAGCGGACGCTCACCTTCCTCAGGACCTTCCCGCACGGGGGCCAGCCCAGCCCCTGTGCCAGGCCATTGAGGAACCAGAGGGCAGCGAAGAGAGGCACTGTGGAGCTCCAGGAGAAGGCGACGTTGACCAGGCCAACCAGGAGCAGCCCCGAGGAGAAGAGCCAGCGAGCGCTCATCTGGTCGGACAGAACCCCGCTCACAAACTTGCTGATGGCATAGGCTGCTGACTGGCTGCTCGTGATGAGCCCTGCAGGGGAGGGGAGCAGGGCACAGGCCCCTGGGGTCAGGGCCAGGCAGAGGCACAGCAGCGGCGGAAGAGGCCTGGGCAGGCGGCTGGAGGTGCCCGGCAGCATGAGACAGCTTCCTTCTGAGAAGTCTGGGAGGACCCGTGCTGGATTCGGACACTTGCTCATGGGACCCACTACCCCTGCCTCCCCATCAGCACTAGCCCCAGGTGACCCACGACTTCTCAGCTTCTTGGAGAGTTCCAGCCAGAGCTGCCAGGAAGTAAGAAGGGCAGGACAGTGCCCCTCCCTGGGGTCTAATATGCCTGATTGCCTCCCCCGACTCTGCTTGCCAGCCCAGGGCCTCTGGCCATTCTGTTGCCCCACCTTTGAACATAGGGTGAAGGGCTTACAATGGGAGTCGGGGACCTTATTCCTCCTGAAAGGTAACCCGCTAGGCCACACGAAGTCACTGTGCCAACTCCCCAGTTCCTAAATGCTCACAATGTCAGTGGCCAGCAAACACTCAGGTCTTAGCACGCACCCACGCACGTGGAAACCATACTCAGAACCCCCTAAACACACAGCACAAACGGTGCCTCTGGAGCACCTGCGGCTCACAGCCCGCCTCGGACAGCATGGATCGCGCCCAGACTCCTCACACCCGTGAGCACGGGTCGCAGAGCCTCTCCTTGCGCACGTGGAGACACCACGCTCAGACCCGCGCACCACTGCGCCCACGTCCCTCCTGCGACCTGGCCCCGGCCCAGCGCCCTGCTCCCAGCTCACCCAGGTCGTCCTTGTCCAGAGGAATCTCCTCGACCAGCGCGGGCATGACGAAGGAGAAGGTCTTGCGGTTGAAGTAGTAGAGGCTGTAGCCCCCGAACATGGCCGAGAAGATGACAGCGCGGTAGTAGCCGTAGCCCCGGGCGGCCATGGTGGGAGCCGCTGCGCTCGGAGCCAGATCTGCTGAGCGCGGCTCTCCTGCTCCCTTTATAGCGCCTCCTGGGCAATCATTAACCGGCAGCGCCCGAGGACCCCGTGTCCCGCGGGAGACCGGACGTCACGACGGCCGCGCTGCGGGGCTGCCGGCGCGGTCCCCACGACCCCCCCTCGTTTGCCCGTGCGGCCAGCTGTGATTAAGGCTCACCCTAATTACTCCGTCTGCAAGCGCCCAGGGGAGGCAAGGAGGCCGAGTCGGGCGGCTCCCAGCCCGGCTCCCCTTCGTTCAGAGCAGGGCTCACTGCCGCGGCGGCCGGGGTGCTGGTTCCTCCCTGCACACGGTCGATCAGACCGCCCAGCTCCGGGCCCGGGGCTCCTAGAACTGACCCCCAGCCCCCCACTCCCGTGCTTTGCACCACTGGGGTGTAACTCGTTACTGACAGTTGCAGTTGTCAGCAAGGAGGGATCCCCAGTTCCGGACCCACAGTGTCACATCGGAGCCCCGCGAGGAGCTAGGGTCGCGGTGGGATCCCTCAGCTGCCCACGGTCCCCCTGACGCCGTGCGGGCTCCCGGCGGGCTGGCTGGGGGCTGCGGGGTGGGGAGGAGGCGCACCGGCTCCCCGGGTCCGGGCAACCTGCCCCCGGCGTTTCCGCTCGGCTGGAGAAGCAACTGGAGCGGAAGGGACCGGCGCGCAGTGCCCCGGGGGCCCGCTTGGGGCGCCGCGCGGGGTGCAGGGGAGGGCGGGGCGGCGGGCCCGCGCACCTGCCCCGGCGACCTCAGGCCCCCAGCACCCCGGCGCTGGCTGGGGACGGCGGGGCAGGAGCCGGGGCGGTGCAGAGACAGCGGCTGTGACATCGAGCAGCGGCGTGTGCTGGCCGCCGGCAGCCTCGCGGGTCCCCGCTCCCGGCATTGTCCTCCGCCTCCCCAGCCGCGGGGGCAGCGCCGGGGTGCAGCGGAAATCGGGGCAACCTTGGTTGGGCCTCCAGCGACCGAGCCCAGGCCCCGAAATTCCCTCTCTAGCCCCACCCTCAGGAGACGCCCCTCCCCCGCACTCCCCCCTACCTGCACAAGGGGAGCCCCCTGGGGGCCGGGGAGTCTGCGCCTGCGCCCTGGGCGGGTGGGCGGGGCCTCCGCCTGCGTCTCCGCCTCCTGGAGGGCCGGGCCGCTCCGCAAGGACTTGGACTTAACGCTGCGGTCACCCTGGTCCTCGCGAGGACAGCGCCCCGTAGGGGCTGGGCTCTCCTGTTTTCTCCTTTTTTTTTTTTTTAAAGTGTTTTTCTTTATTGATTTTTAGGGAGAGGAAGGGAGAGGGAGAGAGAGAGAGAAACATCGATGAGAGAGAACATGGATTTGCCGCCTCCTGCATGACCCCCACTGGGGATCGGGCCCACGACCTGGGCACGTGGAATCGAACCTGCAACCTCTTGATGCCTGGGTGGACGCTCAACCGCTGAGCCACACCGGCTGGGGCCCCGTTTTTGTTTTTTATCAGACTCATGGGTTCATTGTGAGGATTCAGTAGAACACTTAGATTACAGCTCAGAACATTTAGATAACCGCTTTCACAGAACCCTGAGAATTGCTGGGAAAATGTTAAGTGCTCCTGCGTTGAGAGCAAGGATACTTCAGAGTGGGACGGTGCTCAGGGAAGGGAGGAGATGGAGGTGAGATAAAATGGGACAACTTGTGGCTGAACGTCATGACTCAGCAGGTGTCTGCTGAGCAGAACCTCCTGTGTCTCAGGCACTCCACTTTCGTGGATCAGACAACCAGGAAACGGAGTTTCTCCAAAACCAAACCAGACCAAAGCATTCCTACTCTACCTAATAGCCATTTAAGTTTTTAAAAGCATAATATACATACAGTAAAATACAAAATATGTAGCAAATTGGATCCAGCAATACATTTAAGAGATCATACACCATGACCAAGTGGGGTTTATTCTGAGGATGAACGATTGGTGCCATATTCATAAATCAATAAATGTGATGCATCATGTAAACACAATGAAGTATATAAAAACCATATGATCATATCAATAGGTACAGAAAAAGCATTCAACAAAATCCAGCACCCATTTCTGATAAAAACTCTCAGCAATGCCCTGGCCGGTTTGGCTCAGCGGTTAGAGCGTCCGCCTGCGGTCGGGAGAGACCCGGGTTCGGTTCCCACTAGGGGCGTGTACCTCAGTTGCAGTTTGTCCCCAGCCCTGGTTGGTCGTGCGGGTGGCAGCCACTGGATGTGTCCCTTTCACATCGATGTTTCCCTCTCTCTCTCTCTCTTCCTCTCTCTCCCTCCCACTCTGTCTGTACAAAAATGGAAAAATGTCCTCGGGTGAGGATAAAAAAATAAAAAAAAAACTCTCAGCAAAGTGGGAATAGAGGGATCATACCTCAACATAATAAAGGCCATATATGAAACACCTACAGCCAACATCATACTCAATGGGCAAAAACTAAGTGTTTCCTATAAGATGAGGAACAAGACAGGGATGTCCACTTTCACCACTCTTACTCAACATAGTACTGGAAGTCCTAGCCACAGTGATCAGACAAGGAGAAAAAATTAAAGGCATCCGAATTGGGAAAGAGGAAGTAAAACTTCCTCTTATTTGCAAATGATATGATATTGTACATAGACAACCCGAAAGATTCCACCAAGAGACTACTAGATTTAATAAGTAAATTTGGAAAAGTACCAGTATACAAAATTAATATCCAGAAATTGTTGGCATTTTTATACACCAATAATGAACTCTCAGAAAGAGGAACTAAGAAAGCAATCCCATTTACCATTGCAACTTCACAAAAAATAAGGTATCTAGTAATAAACTTAACCGAGGAGGTAAAAGACCTGTACTTGGAAAACTACAGGACGTTGAAAAAATAAATAGAGGAAGATACAAATAAGTGGGAGCATATACCATGTTCATGGATAGAAAGAATTAGCATCGTTAAAATGTCCATACTACCCAAAGCAATCTATAGGTTCAACGTAATCCCTATTAAAATACCAATGGCAGCCCTGGCCAGTTTGGCTCCCTGGTTTAAGTATCAGTCACCAAACCAAAGGGTCTCAAGTTCTATTCCTGGTCAAGGGCACGAAACTGGGTTGCAGGTTCCATACCCAGACCCAGCCCGGGTTGTGCAGGAGGCAATCAGTTGATATGTCTCTCTCACATAGATGTTTCTCTCTTTCTCTGTCCCTCTCTCTCTTCCACTCTATCTAAAAAAAATCAATGGAGCTCTGGCCAGCTTGGCTCAGCGGTTAGAGCATTGGCCTGCGGTCCAGAAAGACCCAGGTCAGTTCCCGCTAAGGGCATGTACCTTGGTTGCAGTTTGTCCCCGGCCCTGGTTGGTCGTGTGGGTGGCAGCCACTCAATGTGTCCCTTTCACATCAATGTTTCTTTCTCGGTCTCTTTCTCTCTCTCTCTTCCTTGCTCTCCTTCCCTCTCTATCTGAACAAAAAAATGGAAAAAGGTGTCCTCAGGTGAGGATAAAAAAAAAAAATCAATGGAAATATATTCTCGGATGAGGATTAACAACAACAAAAAAAAACTAAACTAAAAAAATATCAATGGCATATTTCACAGATCTGGAACAAATATTCCAAACATTTATATGGAAATAAAAAAGACCCCAAATAGCCACAGCAATCTTAAGAAAGAAGAACAACATTGGAGGGATCACAATACCGAATATCAAGCTATACTACAAAGCCACTGTAATCAAAACAGCCTGGTTCTGGCACAAGAACAGGCATATACCTCAATAGAACAGAACAGAGAACCCGGAAATTGACCCAAGACATTATGCTCAATATTTGGCAAAGGTGGCAAGAGCATACAATGGAGTAAAGACAGTCTCTTTAATAAATGGTGTTGGGAAAATTGGTCAGGTACGTGCAAACAAATGAAACTAGACCACCAATTTACACCATACACAAGAATAAATTCAAAATAGATAAAAGACTTCAATGTAAGTTGTGAAACCATAAAAATCCTAGAAGAAAACATAGGCAGCAAAATATCAGATCTATCAAGTAGCAGAATCTTCACCAATACATTGCCTTGGGCAAGAGAGACAAAGGAAGAAATAAACAAATGGGACTGCATCAGAATGAAAAGCTAATGCACAGCAAAAGAAACCAGCATTGCCTGGTCGGTGCGGCTCAGTGGATTGAGCATTGTCTCAGAGACTGAAAGATCTCGGTTCGATTGCTGGTCAGGGCACATGCCCAGGTTGCACGCTCGATCCCCAGTAGGGGGCATACAGGAGGCAGTATGGAAAATGGAAATAAATCGCTACTTTGCCCTGCAAAAATTATATATATTAGTTTCCTCCTTTATAATATGAGTAAATATAGAGCACATTTTGAAAATAAGAATACTACGTACACATTTTAAAATAAAATTTTATTGATTTTAGAGAGAGAGGACAGGAGGGGGGTGGGAAACATGAATTTGTTGTCACATTCATCTATACATCCATTGGTTGCTTCTTGTATGTGCCTGTCTGGAGATAGAACCTGCAACATTGTGTATGGTGAGGACACTCTAACCAACCAAGGTAGGTACCCAGTGCCAGGGCATACTATACACATTTTTTAAATGTCCTTGATGGGTAGCTCAGTTGGTTAGAGTATCGTCCAGATACTCCAAGGTTAAGGGTTCAATCTCCAGCCAGGGCACATACAAGAATCAACCAATGAGTATATAGATAAGTGGAACAACAAGTTGATATTTTTCTCTCTTTCTCAAATCAATACATTTAAAAAAAAATTTTTTTTAAGACATTCTTTAGCCCGGCTGGTGTGGCTCACTGGTTGAGCATCGGCTCATGCACCAAAAGGTTGCCAGTTCAATCCCCGGTCAAGGCACATGCCCAGGTTATGAGCTTGATCCCCAGTGGGGGACATGCAGGAGGCGAGCAATTGATGTTTCTCTCTCATCGATGTTTCTATCTCTCTCTCCTTCTCCTTCTCTCTCTAATATCAATAAAGAAAAAAAATTTTAATCCTTAAAAAAAAACACATTCTCTAAAAATTGAGTTATAACCTGGCCGGTTTGATACAGCGGTTAGAGCATCAGTCTTTGGGCCAAAGAGTCACAGGTTCGATTCTGGTCAAGGGCACATGCCTCTGTTTCGGTTGGGTCCTGGGCCCTGGTTGGGGTCGTGCAGGAGGCAACCAATCCATGTGTCTCTCTCACACTGACGTTTCTCTCTCTCTTTCTCCCTCCCACTCTAGTGAAGATAAAATGAAAAAATATCCTTGAGTGAGGATTTTTTAAGAAATTGAGTTATAATTCACATAGTATAACATTCACCATTCTGAAGTGTGTATCACAGTGGTTTTACTATATTCACCAGGTTGGGCGACCATCACTGCTATCTAATTCAAGAACATTTCATGGGCCCCAAACAAAACCTTACAGGCATTAGCAGTTACTTCCTCTTCCTCTCTTCCCCTACCCTTTAGCAATCACTAATCTACTTTCTGTCTCCACGACAATCTGCCTGTTCTGGGCATTTCATACAAACAGAATCATACATCAGGTGTCCTTTGGTGCTTGGCTTCTTTCACGTGTTT